AAGAGTATGAAGAAAATGTTCAAAATCGGTCAACATATTTAAAGGATCAAATCCTGTGCTCAATGATGACAAGGACAAACACACACATATATAGATAGAAGCCTGCTCTGAAAACCTATCTCACCTAAGTAAAGATCATAAGCTGCTCTGCTGGAATTTTTAATTTTTCAATTAAAACTCTTGTTAGATTTTTAAAAAACAAAGCCATGCAAATATTTCTGTTGGCCACCTAAATATGATCCCATGTTCTTCCACAATCTTACTAGTCTGATTATGTAGACCAAACTCCTGGTCAGGAATTACTGAAGAATTTGTAAGTCAGAGATCTGAAAAGGTACCACTTTTATAGTATTAGTGTCATAATAGCATATTTTTTGTTTATAACATGGAGAAAGAGTGAGCCGTTACGGAAGTATTAAAAGAAAACCCATCTATAAAATTTTTCCTAAGATGGCATAAGCAGTAAAGGGGATTTTGGTCAGTATGTCCTTGGACCAGATAGGATGATTACGGCGCCTGCTAGGTACACAGGGATGTGCAGAAGATGAGGGTCTAGATCCTTGTGACAGATAGTTAACACAGATGTGAAGATGGAGTTAATGTAACTGTCTGCATGACTTTGGAAGAATCTTAGGAAACCTTTAAAAACATACATAATTCATGATACTGTCCTTAAACATATTTAAAGAATATCAGGCCTAGAAATGTCTTCATATTCAATAATTTTCAAGTGATTACATTCCAGACATCCCACAGTCAATAAAGCACGTACTCTTTATATTAAAGTGTATTTGCAGCTTCTGTTGCTCTTCATGGGTTTACTCGTAATGCAGAGAAATGGTTAGAACATCCCCTAGCGGTACTTCCCTAGAGTTGAATATTCTCTGTAGTACTTGTGCTTGGTGAATAAAGAGCATGACTATGTCACTAAACATGTACCCATTGCTTCAACATTAGAAGTTTATCATCAGTTTAATTTTCTTCCCATTTGGTTTTGATACTCATTTCTACCGGGTCAAATGTTAGCATTGGTTCCACTTTAAGAGCTAATTCATTAAAATCACTTTTGGTTGATTTTAGGACGGTTGCTGTGTTCTAAAGACAACGAAGAATGTAATGCTTTGACATCTTATATTTCAAACTACATGTGGGATTTTTAAGGGGTACACTGAACTGGGCTCATTAATCCACTGGCTTGTAAAAAGGAGATTTCAAAGTTAATATCCCTGAGAGTCACTCAAAAGAGGGGAGAAGCAGGAAAAGAGTGAAGTATTTCATACCCATGTGGCCCAAACCAGCTTTCAAGTATGACTTTGTGAAGTCCAAACTAAACAGGACTTTGATAAGAGGAAACAAAAGGGGCAGGGGGGTTGCAGTTCAGGAGAGAGGATTCACACCTTGACTGTGACTGGGACTGTGTCATATTCTATGTCTAAGTCTCAGTCTCCTTACATGTAAAAGGGAATAATGATAATACGTAATAGTAAGGCATCATCATAACGCTATGAGGCTTAAACAAGGGAATGCACATGAAAACTCCTCCTCACAAGGAAGGGCATAGGTTTCCTCTGCCCAAAACACATTGTCACGTGGTCTAGGACAAACATCCCAACCAGTGAGTCCACTCTGAGGCAGAAAATAGGATTTTATTCCTACAGAGTTTCAAACAGGGAAACCAATGTCTCTAAACTTCTATTTGTGCATCCCAAATAAATTCAGAGCTCTCTATACACTATTTTTATGTACAGATAAATCGTGACTGTGTCTTACTCCGCTGTTGATGTCAAATATACATGGTTTATCTGTTTCTATCATTTTGACTGATATTGCACACAGCTAAAAAACCCAGCATGGTTTTCTTTTAAAATAAAAATTAATGGATTGTCTAATTAAACCCAGGATATTCTGGTATCAGGTAGATATAGCCTGGTACTATGTAACTCTCTTTCTTCTATTACACTATTTTGCCCCAAGTTAAGAGGTTTTCTTAGATGTATATGCGCCTTCCCACTACTCCAACTCTCTATTTTTTAATTTTTCTCTGTCTTAGTAGACAAAGAAGCAGAGGTGAATTTGTACTAATTTTGTATCATGATGTCCTAACTGACATAGCACTGTGATGGGCTCCAGCTTCCCTTCACAGGAGTTGGGTGACTCTTTAGTCAGATACATTCTTCTAATGGTAAAATGTTGTCAGCAGGACATATGACTTGCTCTGCCAAGGGGATGAAGTTATTTGATGTGAACCTCATTTCTTGGCATTGTTCACTTTCTGAACAAGGACTACCATTTATAATATGGCAGAGTGGTTACAATTATGGTCACAGAAAACAAATGGAATCCACTTGACTCAGTTATGTGCAACCCCAAACCTTGGATTTATCAGCTTTCTGCTGAAAACACTTTTCAAGCATATCCTTAAGGTCATGTTCAAAAATAGCAACATGTGAAATTTGCCACAACAAGAGCATGTACCATGAACTCATCGAGCTGTTTAGTACGAGAAAGCTGTGTATATGTGGGCTTGGGATGAGGGATTTAAAAGTTAAAATGAAAGAAGGAGAAACACAATCCCCACGAGCCATGTCTGTAACATGAAGAGAGGAAGCCACTGTATTGATTCTAAACTAAATTTTGTCATATGCATCTCTCCCCCACCCCCCCTCCCCCCCACCAAGATATCCAGATACAGAATCATAGGATTGAGCTGGCTGTGACCTGAGACCAAATGGATTGCCTCATTTTATAAATGAGGGAATTAAAGCTGAGGGAGGATAAAGGTTTCTTCAAGATAACATGGTCAAAGAATGAGCTTCAGTTTGAAGTCAGGGCTAATATTATTCACTCCAGTCCTCTTTTTATTACATCAGCTCCTTTCATGTACTTCCCTATATTTATAACCAAGTCCTTATTCATTTTAAGGAATGAGCAAAACTTAAGCTATTAATATTTTCTCATACTTTACATCTAAATAAAGAATGTAACTATAATGGCTCGTTTAGCACTGATCTTTAAAAACTTTCCTTATCAGTCATAATCTTTTGACCTCATCTGTAAGCTTATGTGCCATGGTCACAAATCTCATACAACATTCGGAAAGCAAATGCAGCATTTGTTTTTTTTTTAAGATTTTATTTATTTATTTGACAGAGAGGGAGAGAGAGAGAGCACAAGCAGGGGGAGCGGCAGCAGAGGGAGAGACAGGCTCCCCGCTGAGCACGGAGCCTGATGCAGGACTCGATCCCAGGACCCCGGGATCATGACCTGAGCCGAAGGCAGCCGCTTACCTGACTGAGCCACTCAGGCACCCAGCATTTGGTTCTTTAAAAGAAATTTTAAGATACAGTTCAAGAGTGCTTGAAGAGAACAAATGTGGCCACTGCTTTTCCTTGGACATTTATTACTTTCCTTATTTATGCTTAAAGTGAAAAACATACTAAGGATGAAGCTGATAAGGTTTTAATAGTACTTAGCCACTATGAAACTAATAGACATAGAAAGGCATTTAATTGCTTAACTATATTGCCTTGCTTTAGTCAATGCCACTTATACCAGTCTATCATACAGATATTTCAAAACTATCCATCACAACAAGAATTAAATTATAGGAGATCTCAGGAGGTCTTGAATTTGGAACTTGTTTTTATTAAAGATCTAGCAATTCTTCAACAGGACTTTCAATCACACCCCTAAATGGACTGCCAATACAAAAAGTTATCTGCTTTATCATTTTTTTCCTATTAAAACACTGAAAACAAATATTTTTAAACTCAGTTTCCTCTCTGTCCTCAGAAGCATACTGTCTGCATCCTATGAAACTGGAGAGGGAGACAAAACAATTCTCTAATTCTACAGTAAAATCAGTTTGAGGGTTTGAGGGTATTTACACAGTGTCCCTCATGTGGGGAACATAGAGACACATTACCTTTTTTGAGTTCTTATTATGAGCCAGGTACTGTATTAACAACTCTACATGAATTAGTTTGTTTACTATTACAGCAAGCATGTTAGAGATGAGAGAACTGACAATCAGAGAGGATGAATGACTTCAAGGTCATTCAGTCAGTTTGATTCCAAAACTTGTATGCTATAATAATAACCATTATAACTGCAATAACACCAAGAGCTAGAATTTATACAACATTTACTATGTAACTAGTCCTGTTCTAAGCACTTTTCCACATCTTTTGACTTACTTGTCCTAATAATAGACTGGTATTTTAGAAGCATTTAATATCCACATTTTCTTCAGATAAAAGACTGAAGCACAGAAGGGTTAAATAATTTGCCCAAGGTCCCACAGCTAGTAAGTGTGACCTTGAGCATGCTTCTGGTTCCTATATTTATTATGCAAAGCTATGAAAAACCTCCATATATAGGTTTGTGATAGGATGTTCTTTTTATTTTTTATTATTTTTTAAAAAGATTATTTATTTATTTTTTGAGAGAGAGAGCGAGAGAGAGAGAGAGTGAGCGAGCATGAGTGGGGGCAGTGGCAGAGGGAGAAGCCGGCTCCCCGCTGAGCAGGAAGCCCAGCTTGGGGCTTGATCCCAGGACCCTGGGATTATGAACTGAGCTGAAGGCAGACACTTAACCAACTGAGCCACCCAGGTGCCCAGGATGTTCTTTTTAGAAAGATTTTAGAATATGTCTTCCCATTGACTGTTGCTTAAATTAGGATTCCAGAGGTAAAGACGTTTAAAGAATCCAAGCAATAATAGTACAAAGTAACTGTATGACAGTAAATAAGTCCTTCCATCATGATTCAGCACTATTTTCCGTATTTATTGCAAGATATAGGAAAGTCTAACTTTAAGCTGTTTACAGAAATTATTACTAATAGGTTTGAAAACATTTATATAGGAACTTACTAAATAATATAAAATACCCTACATTCACGAAATATTATCCAGAACATCACATGAAGAAACTACTTTTCTTGTTCCTTACAAACAAGCTTTATCCATATATTCTCTTGTTGAAACAAGGAACTGCAATGCTCATAACGTGCCTACCTGCAGAAGCTTCCATCTGGTGTTCAGGTCTTCCAGAATGTTGACGTTATATGGTGACAGCTGAATGCCCAACGTAGTGAGTTGGCGAGCAAGGTCATTGACGTAGCTGACATTCTCTTTCAGAGGTGTAATTTCTCCTCGAAGCACCTGTGTGAAATAGTCAAGGGCGAGTTGGAAAATGAGAACATTTAAAGCAAAGAAACACACATGGGAACTACAAGATATCTTGTTCTGTTTGGGGTGCAGTGTTAGTGACGTTTGCTCTACTACAGTGGTATTGTAACCACGGACATTTGTGAATGGGTGAATAATAATAACTAATATTTACAGAGCATTTCTTAGGTGCCTAATCCTGTGATGAGCTCTGTCCACATAATAATAATTTTATTCCTACAAAATAACCCTATGAGATTGGTAGTTGGAGAATTCTCATTTTACATGTGAGAAAACAACTTGCAGAGGTTATATCTTGCCAAAGGTTCAATGGGTCAAAATTGAGGAACTTGGGATACATAGCCAGGGTTGCTTGCCTCCAGAGTACATATTCTTAGCTATTATATTATATACCTTTCCAAAGTAATTCTGGATTGGCAAAGTAACAGAAAAAATACACTGCTAGATTCTGAATTCTACTCATCTTACAACCACAAATGGATCCTTTTTTTTTTTTTTACAATAAAAAGATATACTCAATCATGAAATACTACATTCATACTTTACACCAACTGCATAATAAGTAGATTCATTTAGAGATTAGGGTATTTTGTCAAGCCCTAAGAATGACTTCCTGGTCTGGTAATTTAGTCCTTGTAGCAATGACTTAGGAAGGCTCCCATGGGGCTTCTCAGCTGTCTCTGAAGCACGAGAATGGGATTCTCTGATGCAATGCATCACGACAATCTGGTGAGTAGAAGGACCCTATGCAGATATGGGGAGGATATTACCATGCATCATATCTACCCTATTGAGATGACATTTATGGTTCTTTAACATGATGCATGATGTCCAAATGTTCCAATGAGCAATTTCTAAGGGACAAATTCCCTCACTTAGGAGAACAGTTTGTGTAATGTAATGTCTTTGCACAAGGACAACATCACTTACTTGGGTATATGCGCTGCTTTGACTTGCTTGATCTGGGTAGGTGTTATTTCTCTGGTTCACTATGTTGATAAAACCACTGCTTACACTGACTTCATCTATAACTCTCCAATTCCCTCCCACTCCAAAGAAAAGGAGCCAGTATGTACATTCTAAATAAGAATGGCATTAGTCCTGTCAAATCAACCTGAATATCTCACCACTAAAATGTGGTATTGTATGGAATATAAGACTCTTATATAGTTCTTAGGTAACATAAGATAATCACTCTATAGAACTTAATGTTTTTTAAAAACGGGCATTAAGAATATTATATTAAAGGGC